TTTCTACCTGAGCACCCAGTGGAGGTGAGGGGGCATCTTAGGGGTATGACGTAGGATGCAGGCCGTGTTGCCATGGAAGTAAGAAGCTTGATTTCTTTAGCTCCTGGGTAGCCTTCTTAGCCTTTCTGGCAAGGGTGACAGGCTTTTTTTCCCCTTTTGTTCCGAAACTGCTTGGGAAAACAGCCCTGCCTCCTTAGCAAGGCACTGAAAGACTACATTGTGAGTTTGTACTGGAGCCAAATTATAGGCAGGCAAGATTTTTCATTTCCATTCCTAAAATTAGCTTCCTTTGTGTGTGCTAGCACAACAGAAATAGAAACATTTGCTGAATGAGGCCCACTCGGTGGTAATCCCAGTGGCCCTGCCTCCCCAACAGCACAGCAGAGCCCTGGCACTTGGGCAGCAGGATGACATCAGGCAGTGCCAGGTGCCTTCATGGTTTCTCCACATGGGCTCTCAATGTCAGCCTCAAGATGTAGGTGGCTTGTGTGGTGGAGTCTCTGATGCATACAACACCTAAGTTGCTTGTGATCAAATGGTGCCAAAGCATTGGATCACAGGGAGCAGATTTTCCAGGAAGATTTTGACAAACTTAATCGACTTTGGAGCTGCAGCAAACTGCATGCTGCATCTCTTGGGTTCTCTTCACATTTCAAAACCCCAGGTCAATATGTAATAGGGAAGAATAGTTAAAAGTAGTAATAATAGCTTTAATCCAGGGTTATATCTGAATATTCAAAATAGTCAAAGGGCAGAATTATTTATGTATAATAAAGTCATCAAGTAGGTATTTTGTACCATCCATTTAATTATTTTCTACTTGAGTAGAATTCTTAATTGCAGGTGTAACACATGGACAAATCGTGCAAATCTGACCATGAGGAAAGGGACAATGAAATCAGAATGTGAGCAGGACTTCAAACTTGGCTGTAAAATGGCAACTCAACTTCAAAAGCAGCACTCTATCCTTTGCCTTCACCCACCTGCCCTGCAGATTACTTTGAACAACAACAACAACCAAAAAACTCCCTCTAAGTGTATTTTATTACGGATGAATGTTCTATGCAAATCTGGATATTTGTGTTGTTTAAAACGAAATGTAAAAGGTTTTGAAGTTATTTTGGAAATGTGTTAGAGAGAAGACAACCCTATAAGACACATTTTAAATTTAATTAGAGTTACTACCGTTTTCAGAAAAACAGAATATTATTTCCCTTGAAGCACGAATAAAATAAACATCTAACACATCTCAGATGTCTAAGCAATCTACCATTTGTTTTTCAGAAAAAAAATTGAGAAAATTGAATTTGACAGTAAGATGAAAATAGCTTCAGTGGCTTAATTACACTGAGTTATAATAATGAGGTGCTGTGACTACTGAAGACACTGCTGGAAGGAGTAGTGAATCAGCTTACACCTGAACTTTAGACTACCCTGTATTAGTTATATGACCAGGACAATGCCCTTAACGCCTCTTAACCTGATATGCCTTGACTTTAAAAAGAAGCTTTCCTTATGAGACTTATGAGGTTCTACCACGCTCAAAGAAAATCTCGGCCTCATTCTCCAGAGAAAGTGTGCTATACATGTAAGTATATACAGAAAAAGGCACATATAAAACTACATTTTATACCACGATGTCACTTGTAAAATGTTTCTAATATTATTAGTGACTAACTGATTGAAATCAGAGTTAATATTATAGGTAGCAACTAGATTTATGTAAATAACAGTCTTCATTTTAGCATGCAATAAAGCTCACAGACCAGTCTGAACAATTTTTGTACTGTAGGTCTTATGAGAGGGACTATACACTCCTTCGAAATGTTTTAAATGTGATTTTCAAACAACTGTTTACATCATGTCATGTACTCAAGGAACAACATCCTAAGCTTAGGTGATTTATGTCAACTTAGGTGATTTATTTATAAAATTTTTATAAACATTCCTTTCAAATGATTTTGGCTAGCAAATAATGTTTCATTATCAAAAAATAATGAAAACTGAGCTGATTTTAGGATACCTCTGAAAGCACTCTCACACCGGATTCAAAGTGGAGCTCTGTGATTTTTGCAGGATATTGCCATCGTCAAAGCAAAGAGCGCTGCAGTCACGGCACGCTGACCTGCCTGGCAACCTGACTGAATCTGCTCGCACTTTTACCATCTCCTCCTCACCACTGGATAGAGCCAACTCCATGTGTACCAGCTTCCTCCAACTGTTCAAGAAAGAGCCCTTCATTCTGGGATGGACACAGACACAAACCTTCATTTACAAGGAATGCCAACAATGTAAGAACGTCCTCATTCACATGTGAAAATATTCATATCTTTGCACCTAATCAGAAAAAAACTCACAAGCATGACACCCTTCCTGTATTTTAAGCATCTATTTGTGTATAGACAGATGGATATATAGATAATACAAGTTCCTAAAATGGCAGTGATTATGTCCAACTTGATACAAATAATTAAAGTAAGCATATAGAGTTTGTCCTCCACACAGTGCTTTCGGTGCGTTATATAATTAACATCAACTATCAACAAAGAACCTGGTCAACAAGTGCCCCAAAGAAAACGAATATACATAATATTCCAATTGCCATCTGCATTCTTATTCCCATTTAACCTAAGACAAATGGATATATTATCATCAAGCTGGGAGTAAAAAGGAATGTGTTTCCAATCAAGGAAAAGTGATCAAGTTCCTAATCTAAAATCAAGTTTTCAAATACTGAGATTAATTTATGCAGTGGTATAACCTTGTTGCATTGAATTGACCTTGCAAATCAGCTAACAGGATGCAGTCAGAAATCATTTCTGCAGGGAAATCTCAACATAACAATTTTTAACAGAAACATCGGAAAATAAATTATGTAAGGCTCTAGGCAAATCATCCCAAGCTTCAGCATTCCACAGGGATACCATTTCTTTTTTTCCGACTTCTCTAAGATTCATTCCTGTGTTCCATCCTACTCAGTTATCTAGTGAATTTGTGCATTTCAGCCTATGTTCACACAATGAAGTGTATTAAATGGTTCTATCGTAACTAACTTAGCTGCAAATGAATGCAACACTCTCATTAGAAATTTAACAGATACATTGTTGTTTGAACTACAATATTTTTTATAAATGTGCAATAGCATAGTTTTAATAGCAGCTAGCATATTAAAACATTTGACATATAAATAGCTACTCACTAAATCTAAAATACTGTTTTCCCTTTTTAATAACTCAGATCAAAAAGAATCTGACACAATACACAACATCTTTACACTTTGCAGGGGCACATATAATAGGAATGCATCCTACATCAATGACATCTTAACTTCTGTAAAACTTGATCTTGCTTAGCCATTTATGAGAGAAAAAACAGTGGAACAAGACAACCATTGATACTAACAAGGCAGTGCATTTGAAAGCATATAATTAGAGGCGCTAATTCGACAATTTAGTTGCTTTATCTTTCCTGTTAACAATGCAAGTAATAGGCATTTGTATCAAATATACGGAATACTCTGCTGGTTTTCCTTCAGTTGTCACTATACTTTTAGACTTGAAATAACCTTATAATTATTTTTACATTTAAATGCTTATTTTAATAAGGTAGCACAGTTATTGACATTTTAATGTGGGATCTGAGTCTCTATGCCCACTCAGATATAAACCAAAAAACATGTATCCTTTGTGGGACCTTCTGTTTTATTTCTTTTACATTTCAATTGCCTGAGGATGGTATGACTATATATAACTTTTTTTTTTTTTTTGCTTTCTTTAGAATAGGGAGAGACTGCAAAAATGTTCAAAGCCCCTAATACGGTTTTACTGTGGCTCTAATGTAAAAGCGGAAAAGGGCAAAAGACTTGGAAAAAGAAAATAAAGATGAAAAATTAAAATTCCAACTGATAGCATTTTATTTTATTATGTGAATAACCCTTGGTATCATCTTGAGTTTTAATATATAGTTTGAGGAGAGAAGCTGATTGATTTCTTTAATTTCATAATTTCTAAGCAATTCTTTGGGCAATGGAAGAAAGAAGCACTTTTGCATGTAAAACACGATAGCACAAATCATCATTACTGAGCAAAAGCAGTTTTAAAAAACGCGATTAAAAAGCCCTCCGAAGTCTTTCCAAGGAGTCTGTCTTAATGCTTAAACCACTCTCCTTGAATTACAACCAATCTATGCTTTTTAAACTACTATTTATGAGTTGTTTGGAGGGCAATTTTACATTAGTTGTTTAAAAACTAAAATCCATCACCAGATTATGGAAAGAACACCAGTGACTCATTGTTTAGAAAACCTCTTTTAAATCAATGTATAATACATTAATATATGGAGGTCTATAAAGGAAACTAAAACTGAATCATTAGTCTTATTCCACTCAAAACATTTATTGAAAATTACTACGTCATAAAGCCAACATCATTCTCACCAATGTGACAGAAACAATTTGTGAAGTGAAACTCAAGACATTAAATACCCTTAAAAGGCACCATTTTTCATTCACCAGAGAAAAGAAAATGCCAAAATAAAAACGTGTCAATTGCTAACATCACTATATTACACTGAAAGAATTTAATTATACCACAAAGAATACTAGGAATTACACATTTAATTAAGGTATGGAACCTTCAAACTGCCTATAACTTCACGAGCTCACAATTTAGTGAATTTCCCATGTAAATGTGTCCCCTGTCTGTGTCTATCACCTACACATTTATGAGTGATAATCTGAAGGTATCTTTATATTTCTTCGTTTTTTTTTTCCTTTTAAAAATGACTTCACATTCTCAGTGCAGATACCCATACCCTTTAGTGCAACACTTATGAATATGGATAATATGATGGCCATCATGGAACAAAATCACACTGCACATGGATGAATGACTGTCAACACAATGATTTCAATCACTTAAGAAGAAATGTGGCTAAATTCCAAATAAAACGCTACAACTCACATGACACTGACTAGCTATGAGCTTCTGGAAATCACCCACCTGGGGCAGCATGCGATTTTCTTCCTCCAGCTGTCTTACTCTGGCCTCCAGCTGCCTAACATAGGACAAGGTTGATTCTAAAATTGAAAAGAAAGAACTCACATTACCCATATTATCTCATATTGGGTACACTGGCAAGATACTTTTGGTTTGATAGACTCAAACCTATACAAAGTGAGTACACAATCTATTACTTAAGAAAAACAAAGTCATAATTTTCCCTAGGGGAGAAAAAAAAGAACAAAAATAGTAGCCATTGAAACTAGAAGTGATTTTGAACACTTATATAATATTAAGTATCATCAGAGAAGTGTATAAATAGCGAGAGTGTAGGCTTTCATACACAAGTTTTCAGAACATTAGGTATTGAAGACAATTTATCCCTGTTTTCTCTTTCTGTTGGACATTTTTAATTGCCCTTGAGTCAACCACAGGCACTAGACTTTTCTGTAAATAAACTACAAGATCCCCCTGAAAAGAGAATGTAGGACAAATGTTTCAAATATCTGGGTCCCCTTATTTTCCCAATACATTTTTCAATTCTTACCAGCAATATTTCTTTTCACAAATTTATAGGTACTAACTCTATGATTCAGAGACCAGCTATTCAGATTTTTGTTTTCCTTGAGAGAAACAAACACCCAGATTTCCCCTAAATCTTTAAATAAACTGAAGGGAAAAACTAGAATTGATTCTTGATTTTGCTTCTTCAGAAACTGACACACATCCTGAAACCTAAAAATCAACATCAAGATCAGATTGTATTCTATACTGCAAATCTCAACATTAGAGCTTTATATCAGAAACAAAGGTTCATCGGTATAGGAAAGTAGAATTTCATTTTGGGAACAATCTGATGGTAGCTCTGATTTTGAAACCTCACAGAACAACATAGTTCTATTAATTCATTCCCAAAAGACATATATTTCCTGTGTAATGAAAGGTACATAGGGATAGATTTTCTCACAACTTCCCTGCACAGTTAGTATTAAAACAAATTCCTTGGTGTTCATGCTCCCTAGCTCAGACACACAGATGAAGTGGTAAGAAGGAAGTATGCTTAAGAGACAAGTGTTTGGAACCCCCAACTACTGAAGGTTCATACAGATATTGATGCGAATTAATATCTGAACCTTTAATTCTTTATGGAAAATTATTCTTATGTGGAAATTGTTGAGATAAACTTTGTTCCACTTTTGTGACTTTCAAAGCAACAGATTAGCATTTTCTAAGACACGTGAGAAGTACCAGTCGTTAATGCATAAATTGACCAGTTAGGCTCGTCCCTGAGCACGGCTCGATATGCTGCTTTTCATGAACATTTTGCACAAAGCTCTCATCACTGTATTACTATGAGGACACAGTGACCTCACACGAGTGGTGACTATCCCTAAGCATGCCCTCATGGAAGAATCATCAACGCAAAGGGAAATGAAGGCATGTGCACACACTTTTTTTTCAGTTTAATCAAATATTAAACCTGCTTTATGGACTCTTTCAAAGGGAAAACTATATACAGCCTGCATGAATAGCAAAGCCATTGATTTCATGAATCTGCTTTAGTTTAGCAAGTGAATCCGTGATTTGCAGTTCATCAAGACATGATTGTGAATTGCCTGCTGGGCAGTTGTGCCAGCCTCAGTCTCTCCCTTACAAAACTCACTGGATACAAATTGTTCATGTAAAACATTGATCTGCAAAATGTTATTTAAATCGTGAAAAGTATATAATTTTATCTTCTGTTCACTGTGTACACATTATCTTTATTTCCCTTATACTGTAACACACAGAACAGCTGTAAGGACTGTACTGAGTGATTCAGCTGTATTTGGAAAAATGAAAATTGTTGCAATTTAGTGATTATCTTCAGCATTGTAATTTTTTGTTCTACATATTTGAAGTTTACACAGTTGATGATTTCACTAAGACTCTCCCTTAAATTACAAAAATCTTCAATTCAGAGGAAGTTTCCCAAGTTTGAAAAATATTTCTTCCTATTTTTAATGTGGAATTGCAATATGACAAGTAAAAAACCTTTATTCCAAATCACCTAATACAATCATACCTGGACAAGAGATGAAAAGCATTTTTAAACAGGCAGCGAGGACAAAGTTCAGTATGTTTGGAGTTCAATGAACAAATTAATATTGTGTGACTGCTTTGTGTTGGGTATTTTCCTACTGTTGGAATGAATGAAAGACCAGTTACTGTAATTATTAACAACTTTCTAAGCATATAAATTCCCTTTTAATATTACAAACTCATGTAATATGTTCCAAAAGGTCCTAATTCTTGCAGGCTGTTAGACTCTACTGCAATCATCATGTAAAAAAATCAGTGGTCCTCTCAAATGAACAAATCTGTTCCTGGCAGATATAAAACAACAAATTTTGGACCTGTGTTATGACATAGCTGGTTAGGTCACCACCTGCGATACCCATGGCGGGCCCCCTATGGGCTCTTATTTGATTGCTGGCTGTTCCACTTCTGATATAGCTGCCTACTGATTCACCCGGGAAAGCAAGTGTTTGCATTCTTACTACGTACATGTCAGATCTGCAAGAAACTGGCTCCTGGGTTGGGCCCAGCCTAGGCCTGGCCTTTGGGCTTATCTCCAAAGTGGATCAGTTGATAGTAGAGCTCTGTGTCGATTCTTTCCTCTACATGACTCTTTCAAATAAAAAAACTTTTTTTAAAATAGGAAGAACTCCTAAGGCATAAGTAGGAATATTCATGTTGTTAGTTGTGTTTGATGAAGAACTGATTATATAGTGCTTTAATGAAAGAAAAAAAAAACTCTTGTAAAATGTACTGTCTGATCAGCATTCAGTCCTTGAATCTACATACAGAGGGCAACTGGGAAAAAAGATCCTTCGACTGGTGTGAAAAAAAAACACATGTTTTACTTAGTTCTCATGGTTGATTAGTTTCTGTACTCTAGGTTGACTGAGCTTGACTAGGAGTACGAAATGCTTATATGGGAGGAAAACATTTTAAACACATACACTGCTTTTAAATTTTATCATGTTTTTCAGATATGTGACAACTAATACAGAATACAAAGTGTATAGGAACAAAGTGGACATTTTATGATGGTTTTTAGCTCATATTTATATTCCTCTGGAACTGTGGTCTTTATACTTTATTTGCAGTATATTGTGATCAGTGATACAATAAGCCTATGATTATGGAATGGACTGAAATTATGTTTTTGCAATGATTAGAAAAAAGATTGACAGGAAGGAATAGTATTGAGGGATAGAGAGGAATGGGCGTTTGGATATCTTCTTGGATCTGTACCTGTAGCATGCACAAACTCCTTTATAGGTTTAGAAATTTATTAAGAGTAAGTTAAGAATGAGATTTCAGAATGTCATTTTGTCTTCCAGAATTCTCGAGTGAAGTTCCAACAGAATATCAACAAAAGCCAACAGATGACCACAGTTAAGTACATCGATATAAGAAGCATCAGAAGATTACTCTATCTTCAAGAAACACGCAGCTAGTTGGTTAAAATAAGAGCAAAAATTGAAAATTCAACAACACAGTATGATTCAGTGCAAAATCATGGGACACAGGAAAAAAGGAAGCAGTCAGACTTATTGTAGTTCTCATAAAGAGGAAACTCATGTTTACAGTGGGTCAATAGAATTCTGAGAGGGCAAAGCAGTACAACCAGTGCCACAAAATAAGCAAGGGCCAGAATCGACCAATGATCCTATGAAATGTGAAGAGAAAAAGGAATCTAATGAAAGAGAATGACATAGCTACATCAGGAGGAAAAGATTAGGGTGTGTCCACAATCACAACTAGGAAAGCCAACAACAACCCTCACTAATCCAGGTGAAACTTTCTTGAAGCTTCTTTGAAAGAAAGGTATTTTGTTTCTCTTTCTGTTTGGGAAACTAAGTTTTAGAGGCAGCGTGATACAAACTGCCAATGAAAAAATTCAAGAACATTCTCAAGACGATCTCCGAGTGCATTTTGGGCACATTCTCAAAGCACAAATCATTTATCTTCATGCAACAATCTCATTTTTCCTTCATTCTACATGTAAAAGTTCACAGCTCTAAACTATAATAGAACAGTTATAAGAGACACACAATAAATTTCTGTGTAAGTCCACATCTTCTAAAGAATTCCAATGTTACAGGTGGAATGTGCTTTAGGGCTTTTGTATTCCAACTTATCCCCCTAAACTTTGACTCAGTTTGCACATGAGAAAAACTGACAGTGGTGAATTTATTCCACACAATAGTGAATTTAGCCCAGAACACTAAGGATTAGCCAAGTATAAGTGTATTCAATGGTTTTGTTTGATTATGGGGGGGTACCACGGTGATCCTTATCTTGTATCTTCCAATCACAAAGGATATCAAAGTACTTATACAATTAAATTATCCTAGTTTATTCCGGACTTTAGGAATTCCTGATAGATTCCTGATTGATATTTTCTTTGGGCAATTTCCTTGAATTAATTTCAATTCAGTTTACCTGAAATGCATTTAATCATATATACAGCTTAATTTTTTCCTCTGTTACTTTATACTATGACCAAAATAAACAACTGTATTTTTCTGTTTTCATCTCCCCTATGGAAACATCTATTCCCTCAGACTGCCTACGTTACTATGGTTAGCGTGTTTCATAAAGGTTTATCAGATAGCAGCTGCATAAGATTGGTCAAATTTTGGAGTGGTTTTGACTAGAAGAAATGCTGTCATACCTCAAAAATCTTAGTAGAACATAAAACCTTGCAATGGTACTTTCTAACTAACACAAGCCAAACTATCTTCAGACTGTACAGGAGGGAAATCTGGAAGACTACAGAGGCATGGGTTTGTAGGTACGAGTTTTGCAATGGCTAACAGGTACTGTATGCTGAGATTTGGATATTCCTCTTCAACTGAAATGCATTTTATTTATTTCATAGGCAGAAATAGAAGAGCAATCTCCCATCCAATATTACACTCTGGATGCTCATACTGGCAGGTGAAGTTGGGAGATAGGACTTTACTCCAGTTCTCCCAAATGGATGGAAGGAGACTAACTACCTGACCCATACCTGTTGCCTTCC